GATACCAGACTAACATTGGCCAAACGGTAGTGGAGGCGCGAAATACTGCGCTCCAGCGTCATTACCTGACCCACGGCAAAAACAAACACTTCCTTGCCCTTCCCTACCCTGGGCGTTATGCATACGGGCCAATATCACGTCGGAACTGTCCACAAGACGTAAAATTGGCTACCATATTTCGAATTGGGATATGATCTTCCTTCAGCATCCCACCGACTTCTTCCGTAAACCACGACACTACTAACACAGTGGACTGGAAGAGGTTTTTGCTTTTGATGTACCATAACTTGGGTAAGTGTTGAGAGGGAAGAAGTGTTAAAGAATTTATGAAGCACTTTAACACCGGAAAAGGTCGTTCAAGTAGCCAGCGCTTTCAAGTCGTATGACTCTGAGTTATGACCTTGCCATAGACATTTACCGAAGTATGAAGTTCTTTGGCGTTGGTCTATTCCGCCCAACAAATGCACTCCGCATTTGACTTTCATTCTAAACTGGATGCGTATGTGGCCTATACAAAGAATTGTGTTGGTCGTTCGATGAATAAGTTGGCGCTTTTCTTCTCCCAGCCGAGTCTGGTACCGAGTAACGACCCTGGGGTTATGAAGGCTTGCTATCGCGAATACTCGCGATTCCGATATGGTTCTGCGAGTGACCACTACAACACAGCACTGAGATTCAAANAAAGACCCGCGAATATAGTGACTACAGAGAATTTCGCAACCCGATTCCCACAAAACGGATAGCCAGTCGTATCCTAGACGTCGATGCACCTATCCCGCAGTCTTTTAATTTTACTTACTTTGCTTCTATGTATTTACTATTCAGTAGTAATAAGCAGTAATATTATCAGTATAACCTCACATGCTTTTGTTGTATCTCATTCTTCACCTCGGTCATCCTATATCAATCTCACTCCTATCTTTATCTTTAGCCATATCATAATACATAAGTTCTCTGGATGACATATATTCTGGTAGTATAGTTCCGGTATTGGTGTACTGACGTATTCATTTGTATCAATGGTGTAATTACCTAAGTTTTAGGGACAAAAAGAAGTGTACTCGTGGTCCTGGTGTGGAACTCGAGAAAAGAAATACACAGATAACCGCGTGGCAGCAAGATAAGGGCGAAGTGTGACTATTCCAACGCTATTCGAATTATTTGTATATATTCTTACAACTAGCACAATCCAATTTCTATAGTGGGGATCGAACCCGTAACCATGCTGTGTGATGGCGCGTCACCTGCCACAACACTACCTTCGCCCTATAGACATTTATAGTACACATCAAATGTTTATTGGAATAACAACGAGATTATTACGATGCGAAATTGATATTATTCACAAACGATATCAGGTGCACTAATCATTGATAAAACAGCTGCTTGAAGGGGATGTAATCTCGAGCAAACGGATTGAGTCAATAATATATGTTGATAAAGGAGCTGACTAATCGTGTGTGTAATGCAGAGAAGTGAGGACTAGCTGACCTGTGCTGCCTGGATTGGATGGATAAAGCCTAGAATTTGGTGTTATAGGAAAACGGCCTAGTCGTCTGATGATAAGCGAACTCTGTGATGTTTGGGCGGGCGGTAAATTGGGCTATCACCGAGAATCGTCACTATAGCACCCTTATGGTCAGGTTGCACGAAATGGGCACAAAGGATCACAAGGGGATCACGATGGTTATTTGCAAGTATGTACTTGTACGTCTTCAATACACTCCTTACAATTCACTTGACAACACCAAACAAATTTACAGTGGCATTGGGTCATTCGACGCTCCAATCTGGTATTGTAGCCTCGCCCACAGCACAAAAGGTCACAGCTGTCCGAGTTGTATGACGAATGCTTGCATTCTCGTCCACTCGTACCGAGAATGCCTGAATTGAACAAAATGAAGCCTAAATACAAAAAAAATGTTAGCGAGTTACACAAGCTGAAACCTGGAGATTTTTCGGGATGAAAGGGCTTGCAAAAATCGTAAGGAGTGGGGAAACAACAAACAAGATATTTCCTTTGCTCACTGGGATGAAAGCTAGTTTTTAGGACCAATGTTCTAACATTACGCTCTTTGTTTATGTTCATAACTTCATTAAAGAATGGGAGCATAGGAATTCCTACCCAAAAATTGCGTTGCGCTCGCCCCACCCAATCGCGCGCTTTGAAGCGAAAGGTTTGAACTCTCAGTCGAAGCATAGGGTAGCCGCCGCGGAACACCCGCCTGCCGTGGGAATCTGGGGGAGAAGTCCCGCCACTCCGATAATAGAAATCGAAATTATTTTACTAGTCTCCCCATTCTGATATCGTCGCATTACAACTAAATAGCTGTTTTGAACCCAAATGGTTGGGATCCGGCTTTGGATTGACAGTTTGATCAATCTGATTCAATAATGAGCTTCCAGATCTTCAGCATCCTTTCGTCGAAGATTTCTTGACTTCTTCCTAGCCATGTGTCCCTATCTAGCCTCACGTTGTGTAGGAAACTTCATAAAATTCTCATCATAGAACCTGCCACCCATATCTCATCATAGAACCTGCCATCCGGGCTAAGGAAGAGTCCGCAGATATGCCCTATTTTCGCCTACTTCATATTTCCGATTCCACAACCACTGCATCATGAGTCGATAGAGAATTCAAAGAGAGCAGGGGGTTTACATTGTACTCCTGCCGTTGCATCGGTCGTTGGTATGACGGCTTCCTTACCACCACGCGGAAGTACGGTAAGCCTTCCAGCAACAAAGTTTGAAAAAATTAAATGTCGTGCACGAGTTCACCCACTAGAGAGTGTTCAGAGAGCCCATTGGGCATTACCTTCTTTTCGTTGGATAGTCATGCCAGGCAACAATTATATGACGGAGATGCAAAAAGCAAAATCAGCGGCATGAGTAGTCATTGGGGCCGCTTCGGTCGCGCCCTTCACATTCCTACGTGTCCAGTTTCTGATGAGCCATTGAGTAATTGGATTTGGATGTAATCATGCAAACGAAGCCTCATTTTCGCTTCATCACTGTAGGCTTCCTTTCACTGATGCTGTTTGTGGTATGGAGCCATGACCTATAATTTTGTTTTTACCCAATATCATGATGTTCAGTTTTAACATAGCCCTAATGATCCTAATCCACTGATTGCTTCGCCAGGGATTATGTGCGCCTCTGCTTCGAGCCCGTAGAGTAGGAAACGTATTGCAGAAGGTGGTTGTACAGAGGCACGCGACGGGGGCATATACCACTGCCTGAGGGACGCCTAGAACCCTGAGAATTCAGGTATATTGCATCATGAACACCCTCTCTTACACAATTCTGTCAGCCGTATGAGTAAGAGAACCCACCAGCTGCGTCATTCCGTTCACAGTAACTCGGCGATCGCATCACGTAAACCATTTCGTTGCCCCGAATTGGATTTTGACGTTCACTTCGTTCCTTGCGTCTCAGTCGCTTCCGTGCTCTTTTCGTCACCTAAATTGCCGATAAGACCGATGTCAGTTCAAAGGGGGTGCGTGCAGTTGTTGAGTAGTGCTCTTTTTGTTACGAAATCCTCTACATATCTTCTACAAGGAAGAATAGAGAATGCGAATGTGAAGGTGCGTGATTACATCCATCTCAACCTGAACGGCGAAGTGATCGTATCGTTTCTTCAGCATCTCTGCCACTTCACTGAATTTCGGCATCTGAAGCCAGCAGGTTTTGAACTCACAAGATCCCGACACGCCATGGCATCGGCATTGCCGTCGGATGTTTTGCGAAATCGCCTGGAAAAAACCTTCATTGGATTCCTTGTTCGAGATTGGGCCAGGTAAAGTATCTCTCAGAGATCACTTCACTTCTTCATGAGAATTTTTCCATCTATCATACTAAGAAACAGTTCTCACTTCCCGTCCTACCAAGAAATTGTGTTTCATGACGAGATGGCTCACGTTACGGTCTTTTTCGAATTGTTGCTTCTCATATTCGTCCAGAAACCTAAATGAGAACAGATTTGCCTTAGCTGATTAAATCGACAAGTAAGCACCTACTGTCTAGCATATTTCTGGCCGTACGGGACATTATCCGAGCAACCACCCCATGAGAACTGTTCATGTCGTCCCATGGGATTTGACTGATCCTAAATGTAGAATGATGTTGGAGTAGATGCGCCATCAAGAGTCTCTGCTATGCGTACCCCTTCGACGTACTTCTGCAATGCTGGCTTACTGTCGCATCCACAATCGGTGAGATTACCTGTATTGCACCCCTTCGTTATTGCGTGCACTATGCCGGCACTGGCAATCGCAGCTAAGAAAGCCGTTTCCTTGGTAGCTGAAATGTTAGTATAGATACTTTAAGATAAACCAAGTTTGAAGCCACATTTCACGATAAGAATGATTCTCGAGATTTCTCCCCCGAATAAGCACCTTTTACACGATCAGAGCATCCACTACCAGAAATGGTCCGTTCAAACTGGCTCCTCCCAAATCTCGGCTGAACTGCCGTTCGCACTTCTTCTTTAATCGCGTTCACCCATTTATTTCCCCCATAGCAAAAAGAAAAGCATACCTATCACTCTCTCGAGTTTCAAAAAATATCTTATTTAGTATCTAGAGCCATGATGACTTTCTCGTTTTATGCAGTTTTATTTTTATTAACATCAACCTCCCCTACGCTTTTTAACTACCTCATACATAAGTGTGGTTACTGTGTGCTTTTGTTCCTGGAGTTTGTGTTTTTTTTTGCTAACTGATCATGCCACATGACTCACGTCATGTAATGAATAAATAAATATATATATGAGTCTTTGACCCCCAAGGATAGCACAATATGTAGATGGTGTTGGGTCGAAAAAGGGCGTACTAGAGGTCTCAAAACCAGCTCAACTGACGTACGTATCCAGGATAGACGAATTCTCGAGGCGTTGTGAAGGCTGTAGACGGTTCACCATTCTCACTGGGACGCACAAGTTGCACGCAGGCAGCTTACTGAAACCCGCTGTACGCAATAGCATGCACATTCGGACCGCTCCTACGAATACCTTTCCGTTCAACTTTTGTCGTCACTTTCTCGTCCAACCCCTAATTTTACTCCTTTTTTGAAGCTTTGTATTTCTCCAAACAAGATAATTTTCGCTTTTCCTTCTGCCCTTGTGCACTATCCTGGACTATCGCTCCGATAGAACCGGATACCCCGGCATTATCGTGAAATGTGCCTTTCATAAACTTCTCAACTTCGAGAGCAAGGGAGTGAGAAAGTAGTGCATAATATTGTGCTGTGTTTCAGAAAGAATTGCACTCAGTTGCTAAGATTATAAGATTTTTTCCGCCGAAGAATATGAGATAGAGAGGTGAAGGTGAAGAATAGAACCTCAACAGAGGATAACAAACGAATTTTCTGACAATACATTTGGGTAACTAGCTTAGGGCCTAACCAGAAGAGTAAGTAGATCTGTAACGTCTTGCCTTTGAATGTGTTATCGAACCTTTGTTCGGTTAAAATGTGGGAAGAAATGGTCTATAAACGAGAAAAATGACTTCTCTCCCGACGGTTTATGGCAAACAAAGAGCTTTTTACTAGAATCAATTACCAAGTCGTTCTGACACAATTCCTTGTTACGCGGAAAACCCCAAATTCCTGTGATATCAAGAACTTTACGTACATTCACTAGCATAGTACTCATTCAACAGTTTAGAGACCGTATTGCACCACAATGAAAAATCAGTAGAATTCACAGTCCTTAGCTATAGCAAATTGGAATAGGGGAATCTGAGGCAGTACACGAGGAAATGAAAACGAAATTTGATTGGGTGTGTGCATATAGCGAAGGGGTCAATTAAGAGGAAAATGCTTATTGAACAAGACGGGGCTTACTTGATCGAAGAGTTTTCCCGAAAATGTCCTGGAAATTCCCGTGCGGTGTCGGAGTGATTTCATGCCGATCGGAGCAATTCCACCTGAATTGCAAAGTAGTGCGAAATCAGAATAGAGGTGTCTTAAAATTCACCATACCGTTCAAACTTGAACTGAGACTGGCACTCATAGATGGCTTCCCTGATTCCTCGTGCAACGAAGGGTATTGAGAATGGATTCTAAAGGAATTCATTTGTCAACTAAACGGTGTCAATAAGAAAGCCTTGTTTCACAAGGAAACATGAATTAGAAAAAAAATGATAAATTATAATAAATTATAACGACCTCAATAAACCACGATCGGATCTATTTGTGTAATGTGAATAATTATTCTCGTGCACCTCCTTCAAGTGAAGGAAGGTGAAGGTATGGTAGGCTCAATGGCGCCTTTGCCGTACACAAGGTCCTTGACAACGTTTAACATCGAATCTCTTTTAAGACCGATTCATCATTCCGAGACTCATTAAGGCCCAGAGGGTAAAAACGCTGACTTGGGCATCGGCTTGGCCTCAGCGACTCATTATATGTGTCAAATACAATTTCAAATACCTTTGTATATTCCATGAAAGTCTAACTCATGAGAGCATCCTAAAAAGGGATTGATCAAAGCCAAATTTCCAAGCTTTTCTTTCGCACCATAAGTCAACTGTTCACATTACGTACGCTCACAACATCAACTATCTGTAACTTTAATAGGTGAATGCAATTAACTTCCTAGTAAGCGGTAGAGCAATATGAGAGGCAAAGTGTACAATAGTTTTGGGGTATCCAGCTTTAGGCGAACGATGGGCGCGGTAATTGAATCCAGAGTAAAGCAAAATTAGCGAAGGAAGCGCGAAAATCGACGCAATCACACACCAAAAAGGAATTTAAATGAGGGGTTGGACGAGATTGTGGCGGCAAAAGTTGCACAGAAGAATTACTTGGGCGAGTTGTCTTAATGTGTGTGCTGTTGCGTACAGTTGGCTACAGTAAGCTGCTTGCATGCAACATACACGTCCCCGCGCGAATGATGCAACCTCTGCAGCCTCTGCAACGCCATGAGAACTCGATTGCCATCGGGTGTGTGCATCTGGTAAGCCGGTTTTGGGGCCCTTATTACGCCCTATACGTCTTGTTTTTCGACGCCAATAAAACCCTCAAAAATGATACTGCATGGAAAGTTACGGTAAAGTAGCGGCAAAAAAATAAGAAAGGAACAGAAGATACGTCGCATAAGTAGTAGGGTGGTGGTAGAATGATGGAGTCAGATACTACGAAAAAGTTTAAGCACAAAAAATTTAAAATATTTCAAAGATGAGCGTAGTGTCAGACTTTACAATTCATCGAAGTTCGGTCGTGCAGAAGAACATGCAATAGTACACAACCCGTCGAAGCTCATTGACTTAATCCTGCACTACACATGAATCGTTGTTATTGTGCATACAGTTGGAGTGTTGAATAAATAAGTAAACAAACAAAAAATAAATAAATAGAGAAGAATAGTTGTAAGAAAAGGGATAGAACCTTTATCGTTAATCAACCGTGTTTTTGGGGCTCCTAACTATTGGATTTCCATTCAAAATCGTAATGACGTGTTGAATTCGTATGTGACCTATACATAGACTGACTTGCGGTGGCCAGCTGATGCACAAGTCAGACCACCTATTATCCTCCCAGACGACTCTAGTACTAAGTATTCGATACCGAACTGCTGAATGGCTTCGTTGACCTGGGCGAATAACGTTCTGGGATTCGAAATTCCCCGGAACACGAGTTTGCGATTGTACACAACCTGCCACTACACCACCTCCGTCCTTTGCTGGGCAATTCCATGAGTGGTAGACAAGCTTTCGTTATTACCACCATCCATTCATCAGATCATGCCGCAATGATCAGTGAGCAGAAAGAAATTAAAGTCATATTTCATGTTTTTTTTTTTGCTAGCGGAGAAGAGGACAAGGTCTAAAAGCTTAGTAATCGGCGAAACTTCTGAAAAAACATTTTGGCGTTTCTCTAAACGGATCGTTAAAAACTGCTTGAATAGCTCAATCAAAGATGAATGGGTACAAAGAGTGATCTTCCTTCGAATATCGGTCTCTCACGCCAAAATCTTAGTGTAACTTCCATGGGCTGCAGAGATGCAACGTGGATGATTCAGGCCGGTTAAGATACAGGCGAAAATACATTGATCTTTCTTGCATAGCTCTATGTAATAACTATTTACGAAATCAACCTCCCAGAGTTACTCAAGCAGTTCTAAACCCTTACTAACGACTAGAAGGGTAGTTCACTAATTGGAGTCCTCTCGAGTCGCTGTACTGAGCCAACACCACATTTAATCTGAGAAAGCAGAAAATTTTCCCGTATACCGTGTAGAACTACTAATTTGAGTACAAAATAACAGCTACTTCACTCATTACTACCATCGACCGCGCCCTGCTTAGGCACTACAACAAAAAGGTATACAATAAATTTAGAACTCGTCAGAGGGTGCCTAAACTTGTCATCCCTGCAAGAAAAAAAACAAGTTCGTAAAGCTGTCATGGTTATGGAGTAATCAAGCTAAAGTGTTAGGCAAAGCGGCATCCGATTAATATAAAAAATTGCCCTCAAAAATGAAATCAAAAATTGGGGTACGTTGTTCAAGGTTAGCCTTAGGCTCACAGTAAAAATTGTTCCTGTCATATCATATCAAAGTACAGCGCTAAATTATCACGATGTACCCTATCATTATCGAAATTTTTTCTGCTCAAAGCAAATAATATTCGAAAAGTCAAATTTCCAGTGGTCACTCAAAGAAAACACTGAAATCATTCAATTGTGCCGCTTTGTACAAGAAGGAACAGCGGCCACTCAAAAAATGTACGACCAAATCCGACATAAAATCTCATCGTGACTGTATCGTACTGTAACAAGTCAGCAAAAGCTGTAATCGGTTTAATAACCAGTAAATCAGGTCGTCTAGCCGTAATAGACTCGGAAGACAAACATTTATGTAACGAAGTAGTTATGCAGCTATTATAAACTGGGTCCCTCAAAGTTGGAGGTATTAATCAGAATCGGGGGCTACGGATTTCTAGGGTAAGCACGTTTGCATAGCTGTCTTACCTAAACTGATGAAGAAGCCAGAGAAATGGGATCATTGGACGGTTTGGGTAATTGAAGCGCTATATCACGGGAATGGGTAGGAACTATTGAATGGCAGACAATAAGTTACGAAAGTCAACCGATGTTCAAACCAGTTTTCTTCGAATTTGTTTAGACCGATTGAAGGACATCGAAAAAGTGGAATCTATGTTTGGCCGTGATAGCTTCCTCAAATCTTCAGAGCGTAGTGTAAAGTTTTTATCCAACACTCCAACAACAGTCAAAAAAAAAAAAGAAATTGAAGGCGCGGTCAGTGATTAAAATGGTTTTTGAATAGTCTCCTAGGATGAATCTGTGACTTCCTCGTATAAAATATGTGGCGCTTTCAGATAAGAAAACGGCTTATATAGGGCGTGATATGGGTTCAAAGATTGTTTTGGCTGTGAGCCACGCCCAAAATAGGACGAGTTTTAACAGCGTTCTCGAGCCAGCACCTTTCACGTGGAACGCAGAGGTTCTAACAAGTACTTTTACCCTCCATGGGAGAGAACTTCAGGCATTTTGGTTTGATGTAATAGTTAGCTCTTTACGCAATTGCAACAATTGAAACCTCGTCCGTATAATCCTTCCATGCCATTTCCTTCATGGAAACCTCATACCACTTCTATTTTCACTTTTTTTAGAAGGCCTTTCGCACGAAGTAGGCAGATTTCTTTTTCTTTGCCACCGATGCTCTATTATCCACCAACATTTCCACTTTTCAACTAAACGGATACCTCGAAATTATCGTGAAGTACAGCGTAAAGTACAACAAATAGATACGAAAAAAATTTTTGCGTAATTCGACAAAGTTGTGGGGTTGTGCGGAGATTTATCGGCTAACCCATCCGGTCCTTGCATACATTATGAAATTCCTTCAAAACATTGCAAAAGTAAAGAAAAAGTAACCGATTTAGCTGACGAAAAATAAGAACATGTAGCTGGCGCAAACCCAACCCAAATTTAAATTGTTCACCAAAATAGGCCCTCTCCCTTCAATTTGTGGGCAATACGTCAACACGAAAGGGGGGGAGGGGGGGGGAGGGTCCGGGTGAAGGAATGGATGTATCAAATTCAAAAACGTACTGACACAAAAATGTTTAATTTGTCAAATGACTATTCAGTGGGAGCCATTTACTTTTACGACCGCAATTCTTCAAGGTAGCGTTCGCTATAAACCTGAAATTCCGCAGTTTAACCCATAAAATTCGCTTCGCCTATGGAGTGAACGTTGTCGGAAGAAAAGTATTGTACACTATGTCATACAGCTGCGACCTTTACCACTACATCGTAATATTGCAGTAAGACCTATAAATAAATGGCAATAAAACCGTGTGAAAGTTAGCCTTTCAAGTAAAGGTTATGGACGGCCGAACAAGAGCTTGAGTCATAAAAAACACAACGACGTGAACGCGAGCTGACCCTTCTTGTGGACTTGAAAGTAAGGATTGAAAAGAAGCGTTATTCGGTTTTTTAGAGAAGGGTCTTTGGGCATTCGAAATGAGTAAATGCAGAGCAAAAAGGATCCTTCATTCAGCGATTTCTTCTACGATCATAACGTTGTCGTGGTAAAACGTAAGATTTGCCCAAGTCAAAGAAAAAGAATTGGGAAAAGCAATTTGGGAACACCCTACGAATGGATCAACAACGNAAAAACAAGTTTTGAGCTTCTCGGACAACAGGATTTACCTGAACACAAAGAGCCCTTTGGACAGGATTCAGCCCAAGCAGACGGCTGCATAGAACCTCGTAATGTGCTCGATCGCCGTGACTTAATGGGCGCGGATTGTACTCTGACGAACTCAGTAGCGCCAGTGATCTGAATTTCTTGGCGAGATCGTGATGTATGTATGAATTCCTTATTTGGGAGCCTATGAGGAAGAAGTCCAAACTCACAACCAGTTGTAAGGAACAATTGTGTTGGTGATGGCATAATCAAATAATGCCAAGGTGGCGAGGACCAGTAACTTCATACCTGGAATATTTTAGCCAGAACAAAGGGCTCACCAAGAAATAAAGCCCTTTGTATACTTGTAAAATTCTTTTTAGTTCAGTAGAATAGGAATACGAAGTTAGGGGGATTGGTATAATGAGGGTGTCGAATAAGGAGGAGGGGAAAATGTGGTGGAGCGATGGAAGGAGAGCGACGAGGAGGAGTCGTGTCGAAAAACAGGGCTGTGGAGGTTGGTGGTTGTGGTATGAAATCAGATGAAGATCGATCGGTTAGGGCCACATTGACAATGGCTCGCATTTACATTTATGGGCCATCAAGCTCGCCCTTCAAACACTCGCAGAAGGTGCGTCCTCTTCTCGTCTCCGCAGCCGCCGCCGCCGCCGACCGACCGACACACCGTCGCCGGTGTCGGCGGTGAGAGGGCGACCAGATGAGAAACACACGCTACGACTCTCCATCGGTAGCGACCATTGAGACGATGACATTTTATGGTGGTATTTACCGCAAAGTATCGGATAACAATATTCCGTTTATCTGATTAGTACGTATTCGGAGTAATTTCAGTCAAAACTTCATTCTCTCCACGAAAGGGCTAAAGGACAGAAAGCGTGAAATTCAAACCAAAGCAGAGTGTTCAGAAAAAATGAATGAGCACTTGAGTATACTCCGGCTCGGTAGGAAGGAAGAAAGNTCGGTAGCGACCATTGAGACGATGACATTTTATGGTGGTATTTACCGCAAAGATCGGATAACAATATTCCGTTTATGTGATTAGTACGTATTCGGAGTAATTTCAGTTGAAACTTCATTCTCCCCACGAAAGGGCTAAAGGACAGAAAACGTGAAATTCAAACCAAAGCAGAGCGTTCAGAAAAAATGAATGAGCACTTGAGTATACTCCGGCTCGGTAGGAAGGAAGAAAGAGAAGAAAGCCGAAAGTTAAGAAGCAAGAAGTCCCGTCTTTGCTGAGGTGAAAAATTTCAATTTTATCCACCAAAGAAGCTGGGGGATATTTCGTTGAAACATACCACAAGAAAGCCTAGGCCAATGAGTAGACTCCAGTTTAGAAGGAGAAGCTTCAAAAAGGTTTGAAGATCAGTCGTAGAAAACGGCTGCGGTACTAGAACGTAGAGAATTGAAAAGAACTAGAAGTATACTAAACATAAACATCAATATCAGGTGATAAACTCGAATAAATATTCAGAGAAAGCCACTCGGCGAGAAAACTCTGAACATAACTTTTCAGAGGAGCTTTTAAAGAATAAGAAAGTAAGGAGGAGGGTTCAGTTTGAAAAACATGAAGCACGGATAAGTTAAATATAAATGAAAAGCGGAAGTGAAAAAATAAACGGAACTTCTCCGTAGTAGCAATGAGGTTGCCCTTGCCCTTTTGTGGCCTGGACAAGACGATGCCATTTCCGACAGATAAGCGTAGATTGCGGTAGATTTTCTGCTCCTTTTATGAGCACTTTTAGAAATTGGACAGGACGTGGAGACCACATTCATTGGGGGAACGCTCCACTCTTACAAGGATGACTTCGTTGCAATTGTGCATCTGTGTTGAAGCGCTGATGCCTATAAAGAAACCACATGTGGTTCTCATTAAACCCGTCCAAAGTCTCGTCCACGTAGAAAAACCTGCTCTTAGAGAGACAAGAAACCATCTCACCTTACCGTTTCCTGACCACTTTGTCACTTGTGACGACGAATCCAGAAGGGGAAAAGCTTGACGAAGAAAAGTTTTCAGAAATAGGAAATCGATCGAGAACAGGGACATTGAATGCCAAGGAATCAATATGGCATTCATTTCTCTGGTATCGTCGCTCAAATGGTGAATTTAGCATCGAATGAATGTTTTTCATCAATGACGAACACTGACGGGGTAAATTTATTGCCAAGAGGTGCGCAATTTCATGGAGGCGGACGAACATTGTCACTGGAGAGGCAGAAAAACCAATATTCCCTATAAAGTAGTTCATTCATGAGTTTTTCCTTCGGTTAAGTCTTCTTTTTGTTGATTATGACCGTCCAGGGAGATTTCGTATGCTGCAAATGCTAACGAGCTTTGTGAATGATGCTCATGGGTATTTCCAACGCGTTTCAACTTTATGGGCCTCTTATTTATGGACGCAGCGCTATTTTTTTATGGCGTGATTTATCACATGCAATTTTCTGCCTTTTACAGAATGATTTCAAAACAAATTCCCATCTCTCCCTTTTACATGTGCCAACAAAAGGGGTAGTTAATCATCTAAACAAATGTTTTCACCGGAAAAAAGTCACCTCCATTCTTACTTTTCCTTCGCCTGTGAATAATGCTGGTTGTATGGACATGAACTATCATTACCTGTTTTGCATCTAAAATAGATGTGGTCTACTGACTTGAGGGTATGAACCTTTTTAAGTTCATAGTTCCCTCAAAAGAGCTGGTCAGTTCGATAGTTGGCCATGGTTTGGTCATTCCCCATTCTCTGGTTGAATTCGATGGGTAAAGAGTAACCATCGTGCCAAAAGAAACACAACATACTTTCAAAAAAACAGTCGATGTATGGTTTTTAGTTCTGCTATTAGTTTTGAGTAACTACAATGACATACGTATGACCACCCGTGTTCTGGCAGCTGTTGTCCTCTGCAAAAGGTATTAGACGATATGGAAGTTGCTCCCAGATAAACAACAGATCCGTTGAGGGACAGCGGAAGTCTTATAGGCATATGAGGCTAAGATTGGATGGTAATTACACTGCTAATACATTCGCTATCGCATGGTCCAATCCTACGATGCCATCTCTCCAACTTGACCATCCTCTCGTGTACGCAACGGTCCACTCTTTGAGCATCTCAAAAGCTGTGTAACCGCGTTTCGAAAACAGAAATTTATTACACGCTCTTAAAAAACATATGAAAGTCACATAAAAACGCAATAAAATGTTAGTAGTTGATGCCACTAATGAACAACTAATGCAAGACAAAAAATATAGAGGATAATGATAACACCTTGTTCGTGACAATAACAGCAATAAAGGCTAAGATGACAACTAGCTGTGATTCCTGATGAAAGAAGTTCTTGCCTAGTGAAGTCCGACCAGAGCAAAGCATAATTTGCATGGACTGCCTCTAATTCCTGAAAGTTTGAAGGAAAATAGCTTGTTAGCACAGATGAGATTGTGCTTAAAAGAATTTCATGCACCTTCATCAAATCATTTACCGCTGTTCTTTTGCGAAGTGAGCTTAATTGTAAGTTAAAAGTTTCTTCCTCACATTAGTACGAGAGATGCTATTGTAGGTGTACCCAAGTGCTCTTATAAAAACTTTTCTAGTGGAACTGTTTTGAGCCTGCTCGAAGGCCTGAAGTGCCTTATTGTATGGGGAAAATATGTATAACAGTCCCATATCCAAGGATATGCTGAACGTACATTTTGTACGCTTTAAGGAGAATGTTTGCATCCTTGTTATAGAGTTAACGAAGCACAAGGATAAGCCTAGACTAGGCCTCAGAAGCATTGCTATGGCAGTAGTATCGAAACATAGCTTTCATGTGACAATAGTTGAGCACGGAATAAATTGTTCCGGACTTATCTTTACACGAATGTAGAACTTTGGTTTTTTCAATACAAATAGGTGAACTGTAGACCTCAGACCAGTCAGGTTGCTGCCAATGGCTCCATGAGTTCATGCCATCAGGGGACCGATCAGATCTTATGACATGAAAGTCACCAGGAGACCTGACAGGTTTATAGATCTTAATATTATCGACAAACATCTTACAATATACTCCGTGGCTCTCAACTGAGGCGGAAAGATCAATAGTATAAATGTTGGACAGAATCGGGGACAAGACTCCTCCTTGAGGCCCTCCGCTAGTGGACGACCTGACGGATGAGAAGGGATTGTTGACCCTTACTTGATGTGTGCGTTCGAACGGAAAAGACTCATTCCAACGCACAGTTGTCGGGTGTGTTCCGACTAGTACTAATTTCCGTAATAGTTTGGTATGGCACTCCTTGTCAAACGCTTCTAGGAAGTCGAACTATTTGACGTCCACACATAGGTTTGATCCAGGGTAAATCATCTCAATCATAAAGGGTTGTGAGAAATTGCGTAACTATGGACCGTCACTTTCCTGAACCCATGCCCTCAGCACGGCAGAATTTGGTTTTTATCAAAGTGATCTTGCATTTGGCAACAATGGCATCTTTAATAACTTTTTGAAATGACCGGCAGAAGACAGAATCAAACGTATGGTTCACTGGAGGGAAACTTTTTGTGGAAAGGAAGAATAAGAGCATGTTCCTATTCAAGATCCTATTACTTCGGCATACTGCAGACTTCTGTTAAATATCATTCCAAGAGGAAAGCAATGTAGGGTGCAACATTTCCCAAGAACGAAAGAGAAATTTCATCAGGTGTGCGCGTAACACTTGACGGTCACTTGAGCAGGCGATTAAGAACTATGAAGCTGTACAGCTATGATTTACAGCTCTATGTTTGTGAGATAAATGAGGATTAGACATCTTTAACTGGGTACGAAATGATAGCTATGACTGCTACTAACACTCGAGGCGTAGCTAAGCGAAACCTCATTCTACTTCTACAGTAAAATCATCCCTACCAAGGTGAAGTGTAAGTAGTTTCACTAGATTCAAAATATCAAAGCTCGTCTAATCTCTGATAAAACTTTTGATCTAGTGATACCACTCATTCTCCCTTAATGTTTACTGTTTATAAGCTTCGGTCATGAATAGGAAAAGGAACGAACAAAAACTCATCTCCCGGATACTTCTCCTTGCTTTTTGAGCACTAGGGTCAAACACTTATTTAAAAAACTTCGAAGACCGTCCGAGCCTGAAGGGGGTGGGAGGGAGGGAGAGAAGATGGACCAAATAGTAGTTGTATGGTCATGATACTACTGCATACCCATCTCATGTATTGTTATGAATTAATCTGATCTTCTGAATTTAAAGGTTCAATGAATTACCTGATTATCGAATATTTTTAAAACTTATTTTCACCGCATCGAATTGTTCCTGGTTGCATTTGAATTGTTCTGCTGTAGATTCTTTCTGAAGTACCGTCATCAGACGACGGCATTTGATAACACTACAAAACTCACGGTAACAGAAGCCTAAATGAAGCGAGGATTTAATTAACTCTTTTTTTAAATCTTTGACTCTCCTACAGATGATGGATGTGCTCCAGGAGTTCCGTATGGGTTCCTATGTTGCAGTGCGCAACATCCTTTTGAATGTCAATTGAAAAAGCAAGAAAACGCGCAGTCTCCGTCAAAATATGCTGCAAACCGGGATTTGAACGATGAAATCGCTTTCTTCTTGAGCTTAGGCAAACAATTAAGAAATTTCAGAAAAAAGCTGTTCGTGAAGTATAGGCACGTCATTCACTGACATAGGGATTAGCTCAGTTTTGCTATTTTTCACTTCGGAAAGCCCTCCCGTTCGAAATTGGTGCATGATTAAATTTGTCCATTTCGGAAAAAATAGATATCAAAATGATAAGTAAGACATGAGGAATGCAAAAGTCTACTTTTTGTTCAGTTTGGAATATGATGGCTATTTCACAACTCCCTGAATACTTTCAATGGGACGGAATGCCTTCTGGTTATCATTATAGCAAGTGGCGCTGCTAATGAAGTACCAGCACATCATTTTATAGATTTCGTCGAGTTGAGTTGATTTATGTAGCGATATATGTGAAAAAGTGAAACTAACCTAGTTATAAAGAAGAGAGGGGAAACACGCGAATCCGCGTTTTTTCGTCTTTTTTTTT